AGTCAAGCTGGCACTTAACTTGATTTGTGGCTGTTCTCAATTAGAACTGTTTATGGTCTCCAAAATCCCTTCTTGGATGCTTCTGAGGTTCTGCACCAGAAAGAGGAGGGGTAAACTGGCAAATCAAAACAGAGATGTGAGAACTGTACTGGGGAAAAAAAAGCAACCCCCCCTCCCCAGAATCTGGATTCTGAACTAAACCAAAGCCAAGCTGCAATGAAATGTAAAACTTTGGCCAAATTCCTAAATTCTAGTATCATGATTTTCATTTACAGTACTTATTTTGCAGCCCATATTGATTTCACATTGGGCAAGCCACTATTTTTAAGACAAATTTTCCATTTGCAAGGTTTTCATCTGCCATTTCCCAGCCCTACGTCCCACAGCGAACTTCCCACACCCGACCCAGTTTGAGCTGGATCCCCGAGTCACACAGCTGCCCTTTGACAACCCCATCCCCACTGCCAGTGAGGATGAGCACGTCCCATGCCACCCTGGCCTCCCATCACCCAATTTGTGTCTGGAGGCCACCTCACTGCCTAACAGGGTGCTGATGCACAGCACCGTGCAGTACACGCCCTCTGATATCACCCTCCCGACTGCTTTGCAACAGGGAAAAGATGAGGACATGACAAAGAAGCAGCCACTGCTCTTCCTCACTTCAAAAGACAACACCACGGCACTAATAATCCCTCACACTTAGTAACAGCCAGCTTTATAAACAGTAATTAAAGATGCTTTCTGGTGTACCTGCAAAGGAAACATGATTTTTGTTCTCCACAAGGACCACACTTTCTTTAGTGACTTCTGATTAAAGGATCCGACCTTGAGCACAAAAGGTTTCATTTTCAGGGGTACAAGCAACTACAGGTCATATTGTATAACCTTCTCACAGTGCCTAAGAGCAGCTAAAAGTTAAAATCTGGTATTTTCAGCAGAAAGCCTCACAGTTCTTCATTTCAGACACTGTAAACTGCTAATCAGTAATTTTGAAAGAGGGGCAGGATTCATACATCAAAGACTGTGAAATCTGTTTAATCATTTTTACAAATACATATTAAAAAAAAAATCCCTTGCTTATTGCCCTGACATTGCATTGAGTAAACCTGCTAGGGATGAATTAAAGCAGCATTCTGAGGTTCACTACATTGACTGTTCATTGGCTCATGTTTCTCCTTTTATTTTTAATCTTCAAACTGGCCAAGGCTTTTACCACTCACCATTTCTCCAAAAATTAAGCCTTCTCCAAGCACTAGCTGGAAGTGAAAACTGGTGACAGTTAAAGCCCTGCCCACTCAGAAAACCCAGTGCAACCTGGGTGAGCCCAGAGACGCCAAGTCACTGCTCTGTCTAATTACAAACCCGAGGCAGATTAACCTTTGATGACTAAATTAATCTTCTAAATAAAATGAATATGCATCAGCCTGCAAATTAGGATTAAATGCTTAGCAGAATCTTTATGTGATCAAGCAGGTTTTGTGGTGCAGATGTTAACCATTAACATGAAGCAATAAAATCATTCTTTTTTCTTATAATAACACCTAACAATTCCAAAGCCACCTTTCATCTGAGAATCTCAAAGGGTTTCATAAACATAATTAATTAACCCTCTCAGCATCTGAGACAAGAGCATAATAATATCCCCATCCAACAGCTGAAGAATCAGAGGCACAGCCACGTCCTGGATCGCGGGCCTCGGACTGTGCATAAGGTAGATGTTAAAAATGCTTTGAAGAGAAAGAAAAGAGCAGGTTTATGCTGCCTTCAGCCCTTCTCTCATGCAGACTGGCAGGGGGGCTTCTCCATGAGGCTGAACTATCAGTACACACGCACATCCCTCTCCCAGAAATGCTCAGGGAGGTTCTGTAGACACCGAAACACGGGAGAGGAGGCACCGCTGGAGCAGCACATCTGTCTGTACCAGTAGAGATTTCACTGCAAAAAGCAATGGGACTTGTCTCACTACCAACCAAATGAAAACAAACATCACACTTCCCTAAGGTACTACATAATTCTGAAATAAGCCATTCCAGTAATTTGAGGTGAATCTTTTCTAGAGAAAAAAAATTGTTTCCTGATTTTTTTTGGGCACTGGGAACTACCAGTCCCTTAAAGAATCTGTTCCTTGCATATACAGTTACAACAATTTAGTCACAAGCAGACTCTGATGGTGGCACTCCCACTTTTTTTGGTGGAACAGCTGTCCCTGTAACGTGATTCCTATGTCTACACGGAGTAAAATGGTTGCATGGAATGCTACCACTTCCATCTGCATCCTGACACCAACATGGGAAGAGATGTGGCCATAGTTCTTCAAGGCTCTCCCAGAAGAGTGAATGGTTTAAGGGAATCAAGGAAACCTTCTGCTGAGGTCCACTTTCTGTGCTCCCTCTTCCAATGGGTTATTCATTTCCAAGTGGTTTACAATAGGGAATTTGGACAAATGTATACATCATGACTTTTCAGCCTTACTACCCCTGATTTGAATTTCATTAGTTTCAAACATTATGCATTTCATTATTATCAAACTGTAAAATTAAGTTTTAATTTGATCTAGTTGAATCAAAAATAATGTAACAGTACCGCTGAGCTATGGACAGGCATGTGAGAATTCACATTCTTGGTAATCCAATTTGTTGGCACGTTTTTGTTGTCCAATCGTAGCAGTTTCTCCTGGTGTGTAAGTTTTCCTTTTATGTAAACTAATCTGTTGGTGTAAAATGTCTGTTGCTGCAAACGTAATTTTATTTGTTCAAAAGGGTAACCGGATAAGTTCTTAAGGTCAGTTTAAATTTCTTGGCTATGAATAGGAATCTTAAACTATAAATTAACCAATATTTTAGACTATTGACATCACATATATGATTTTTGGCATGTAAGTGACTTCCACAGTACTGGAGGTTAGACATTTAAAAGCATTTCTTGTTTTCATACAATGGCTTCTAAAATCCGTGGAAAAATTCCAAGGACTTTAATAAGCTTTGGATTGGGCACATTATTACTATGAATGTAATTCTTGATACCTCTCCTAACATCTCGGCCATGTGAGAAACTTAGGAAAAGCAATTAACATTCCTCCATCGACTTTTGTATTTACATTTGAAATTTACCATTTAAGACTTTAATTCTTCATAAAACTGCTTAAATATACATAACTTCAGTGTTATTTAAATGTTTTATGATCTTCCTGAAATGATCTGCTAATTAAAATCACTTACTTAATTTAGTACCTTAAATTTACCTTCTTTTATTTGGACGGAATTGGATTTAACGTGCAGGTTTTGTTCATTTTCTTTCTGAGAAAATCTTAATTTGGAAGGAAAATTACAGTTATATGGAAGAGAAGAGAAGAGGATGTCTTGAAGGCTGCAAACTTTAACTGGTGGTAATCATTAGCTACCATGTATGACATGATGTATGCAATTAAGAAATAAATTTATTACAGAAACTTGGAATTATCAATTAAAAAGTAGCCAGTGCAGTCCCACAAGGTCTGATATGATTACCTGTGTTATCTAGGCTGTCACTTCCAATGCTGGTTTGGGTCTCAAAGACCTCGGAGGGGTGCTCTGAGTGTCGAGTTAAATAAGTGAGACAACCTTAGTGGAAAAATGCAACGGTACAAGGGGGTACAAACACAACTGCTCTAGAGGAGTTGAAGCAGCTGAAGATATCAGCTTCAACCTGAATATTATTGGCAAACTGTTCTTCCTTATGCTGTACTTCCAAATGGACCGACAGGGACACTCCACTTGTGGCTGTCCCCCAGTGCACCTGGTGGGTTCGGGAATGCTGAACCTCGGGGGCATTAAAGGACACTCCAACCTGCTACATTTTTCTTTTCTTACTTATTACCTCTGCAGACTTTGATTTTTCCGTCTTCAGTTTCCTCAAGTTTAAGGCCAGAAGTGACAGTTAAATTATCTAGTCTGACCTTGTATATATGCCAGGCCACTAAGCTAAACTCACTGACCTCCTTTTCTCTAAGCTCCCTGTCATAACACTGAGCCACAAATGGGTCTCAATTATAAGCAGTAAATCAGTGTAAAAAAAATAAACAGCTCCTCCCATCTGCCTTTCTCTCCAAAATCCCAACTCCAGCAAAATTCTGTTGCTCACTCTGAAACAGAATGAAAAATTTGGCATCCTCTGATGAATTAGATTTTGTTTCTTGTGCAGAGTGTCTCACATCTGTATTGCTCTGGGCTCTAGTTTGGACTAAAAATAAAATTAATAGAAACTGTCACCTCATCATATTTTTTACCTGATTGGTGTAGATGGATCTTAAATACTTTATATTCAGCTATATAGAGGCTGAGTACACCTATTTATGAATTCACATCCAAACCGAATGAAGTCAAAACACAAGTTGTTCATCCGCAGACTCAGTATAAAAACCTAATTTTTTCTAGCACTGTATAACTTCTTCAAACCCATATACATCAAGAAGCCTAACACACTGTTCACAACTCCAGTACCTGCCTACACAGTAAAACTTTTGACATTTACCAGAAGCAGAGAAAAAGAAAATAACAGTCCAAAACTCATGATAACGTTTTTCAGGATATGATTTGAAGACTGTCTCTTGGCTCCACAATAAAGACTGTTGGAGACACAAGAAGCCTGACAGACAGTGATTGTCTCCCCTTTCAAAACTCTGCTGACAGCATCAACTGTTGTTCACTTTGGTATCAGGGGGTGTCAGGAAGAGTGAAACACTGCTTACCTTATGCATCATGCAAAATTTAGCACCCCTGTCTTTCCCTGGATTCACCCCACGAGCGTTCCAAAACATGCACAACAAAACCACATGAAACTCAGATGATTTCAGATCACGTTACAAAGTCAAAACACAGAACAGATTCACAGAAACATTTGCTAAGGTTCACCAACCTGTTGAGTGAACCTGGGCCCGGTTCCAAGCAAATCTGGATTGATTAATGTTTTCTTTAAATCAACATCACCTGATGTTCTTTGCTACTGATGTGAATCTCAGCTTTTCCTTTTCTCTTTGGGATTTTGGACTGGTGTAAGTACACAGCTGAAAACAGCACATGGAATGCACATCCATCTATGTATAACTGAGGAACATTTTATCACCATTTCTGCAACACAATAAAATATTGCAAAACCTGCATCCCACCAGCCTTGTCGGTATTTTGCACTATTACGAGCTTTTTAGGGAGAGCTCAGAGTAGGGCTTTTTCAAACTTTCATGCACTTAAGAACATGGCAGGAAATGAGCTCTTTCTACATTTCAAACATGGGACTGAATTGAGATATACTCAGTTGTACAAGGAATGGACCCCCTGAAATCAATGGAACTACTTATGGATTAATATACTATCACCCATTGTGATTGAAAGCTACTGTAAATAAGCTTTGGAAACTATATTCCAACTATAGTTATGCTCAGTGGTTTGTAATATTCCAGCACTTGCTAAATATAAACAGATGAAATAAAGTGGGAGATAGTGATACTCTGATTTCTGTTTGCACTGACTGTACATTTGTTGGAGGTGTCTGAGCAATCAGAACACTACATAAATACCTTGCCATGCCTGTGGGATCTCATGCTAACTTATAATCCATCACTGAAGACAGCAGCAGCTCTTGAAGACATGCTAAAGCACTTCTGAGGTTGAATGTAATTCATTGTTACACTCTCCGGTTGCATATTTATTTCCTCTCACAGGAAGAAGTGGCTACACGTGGAGCAGTTGTATGCTGGAAATTTCACTTAAAATTTGCATCATATTAAACAATTACTGACCAAAGGCTCTGTAATTTATCAGTTGTTTTTTCTTCTTCTTTCTAAACGAATGCTTTGTCAACCACCTTTACATTCAGGAGCTCTGCCTTGACATACAGCTTGTCTGTACCTATATCTTTATTTGGAAACTGCACAACTTTTCAGGACTGAGACACGTAAAACCATCCGGATAAAAGAAGAACCTCTCCCACCATGTCCTCACTACACACAGGTAAGTATGTATTTTGTGTGCATTAAAAAAAACCTGTTTATCACATAGTTGTGTTATTCATTTTCTTAATTTCTGACTCCCAGTTTCAGAAAAACAAAAAGCTGAGGAAAATGTTAAAGAACTGCCAAAGTTTCTGTTGGAATAGAAAAGGAACAGGAATATTGTAAGACAGACTGTTCCCTCAATTTCTTCTGGCCAATTTGTAGCCCCAGGAGATCTGCACAAACTTTGAACAAGCACAGAGGCCTGGCAGTGCTGACACGAGCTGAACTCCTCTCGCCTTGTGAAATTCAACCACTGCAGCTTCATAGGCAGCTTTGGCAAAATAAAGAGAAGATCAACCCAAAAGAAAAAGAGATTTAAAACTAACTGGATTCTTAAGGAGAATTTTTGTCATCAACTGAAAAAGCCCCCGGTGTTTCGTCAGGGAACTTTCTAGCAGCCTAATCTTTCACTTACATGTCTGCATTGCTGGAGTCCTTCCCCACTGTCCAGGGTTCCTGCTTTTCTTTTTACTACTGATTTAGATGTCAGTGTCCACTAATCATCTATAAAAAAGGAATCTTTAATGTCCAGGCTGTAAATATGCCACTGAGTCCCAAGAGCCTCACATATGTCAAAGGCATGAAATGATGGCCACGAAAAAGGGAACTCTACATCTGTGTTTGCTTAGCAGAAGAACTGCAGGGCTGACCTGTGGACTGATGTGGCTGTTTAATATGGTCTCTGCAAACCGTTCAATAACATCAGAACTGCTGGTTAATCCTCTTACCAGTACCATTGACATTATTTCATGTTCTACTAAATCCAAGCCATCTGCAGAAATACTTGCCTCTCTTGGCAAGTCAATACAGAGTGGCCGAATTTTTTAAAAGGCTGCAGCTCTAATCTTCCATGTATAATTTCAGAACAAGGTTATTATTTCTTTATGGGAACGTTTTTGCATAATCTTATAGTCTGAGTCTCACCTCATTTTACTTATGCGAGTCAGGAGTAAAGGTAATGCAAATGCAAGGGAAGGATTGAATTTTGAAATTGAATATTCTGAAACAAATATCCAAGTATATTTTGAGACTATATCTCCAAAATGTATTCACATGCAAAAACCGCACTTATTCGGCATTTGGAACAATAAAAAATATATTTAAAATAAAAGAAAAAGTGGGATTTGAAAAACTTCAGAGGTATCCATATTTTTACTTTGTAATTTCTTGACCAGTTTTTGCAATGTTTTCCCTTTTATCTGGATTTCCCATGGAGAGTTTGTGGCAGTCATAAAAATGGACACAATCACGTTTTTCACATGGTGACTCCCAATTCAGGGTTCAACGTTACAAAACCCACTTAAAATTATTGGGAAAAGAAAGAAGAAAATGATTGGTTGATAAAAACAATCTCTCTTAATGATTTTCCCATGTATTTCCAAAGGGTCACAAAGAGTGCTGGACCGTGAAGGGGAAGGATTCAAGGGAGTGAAAACTTCCTGACTTTGGAAGCAACCAATGTTTTTGAAGCTGTCCAATCATTCTTACCTCTCTTTGCAACCTTTAGGGAGTCACAATCCATCCAGAAGAATCAATTATTGAATGTAACAGTAAGAGCCTTGTGTCACCATTCCTGTCATGTCACTGTCTTCTGTCGGAGAGCACCGTGGGTCTGAAACCAAAGCAGACACATGGTGTGAACAAACTGCTAAAAAAGCAAAGTATTTCCAAATCTGGGAGACTGGTTAACACCAGTGTCCTGCTCAGAGTATTACACACCACAGAAACTGGTCGAGGAAAGAATGTTTCTGTATACAATACACTCAGGCTCCCACTATCACTTAATCCCTCTTCCATCTGTGCCAAATTCCAGCTGCAGTCCGTACTCGCCTCCAAAGAACCAGAGCTAAAAGCAAAGTAACAGTCATATCTATTGGCTACTTCGCCAGCATTTCACAACAGATATCACATGATTAGGTGTTAAGTGGGACTATTTGCACTTTTGCTTATGGCACATATAATTATGTAATTCTGTATAATGCCAAAATGACTGTTTAAGTAGCAGCTGCACAAAACAGAGATACTGGCTGGACAGCACAGCAAATGCAAACTTAAACCAGCACAGTAAAAAATGCACAGATACATGTACATCTATATGGATTTATATACCTTCAGGACTATTGAATGTGGAACAAAAAGATCATGTCACTGGAACCATTGAAGAGCAGGACTCTGCCTCTCCTGGTGCCTGTGAAAGTTTTGCCAGTGAGAGGCCGAGTCCTACAACACAAACTGTGGTTGGACAGAACCTAAAACTTAATGGATGAAACCCTTGGAGCTCCTGCTCTCATCCATCAGCTGGTGCTGGTGTCTGTCACCGAGCAGGCTGGCACTAGATGGCTCTGTCAGTGTTTTAGGGGAGTTGGCCTCACACATATTTGTGCACTGAGTTTGTCAGTGCTTTAAAGTCTGTCTGCAAAGAACCTTGAGGGAGAGGTGGGTGTAGACAAACCACACACAGCCACCCTTTGAACAGTTTCACCTGGGAAATTAAATTAATAACCATCTCCACCATAACAAATATGGAGGAAGGTACATTTAAGTTACTTTTCTTATTTTTCAGACGACACACGTCCTAATTCCATTGCACAGAAGCAGAGCTTCCATGAGCTTCGATTAAAGGAATCACAAATTATCAAGGTTAGTTTAAAGTGCTGATATATTTTAAAATACATCCTTCTAAGCATATGGGTAAGGTGGTGGCAGTGGTAGGAGTTTGCCACAGAAGTGCTCCACAGAGGTCAAAAGGAGATCACCATTTGTTTAATTTAAATAAATCAATTTGTTAAACAAGGAGCTGCTGAGATTATACAGTCAGAGGGTGGAGAGCAAAGAAAGATAATTATTTTTGTTTGCATAAATCATTTTCTTATTACTTGGGGATCAGGGTGGTATTGTTTGGGTTTGAGAAAGGAGGGCAAAAGAAGATAACTATCAATTTGCTGATCAGGGTTACATGGGATTTTGCTGCTGGGGCTGGAGAAAGCAAAGAAGATCATTATTTTTATTTAAATAAATCAATTTGTTGTGATCAGGGATCACATGAGGTTGTGCCATTTGCAAGGCAGGCATAGGAAATTCTCCTTTATGGATAGCTGGTTGTAGAACAAATGTTCAGGCACTACTCTATCAAATGGAATAACGGACACAAAAAAACCCTTCAAGACCACAGGGTTGGATTTCTATTCCTTTCTTTTGAAAGACCCCAAGTTTGGCATCTTGTCTCAATTCTCCAACTTGAGTTAAAACAATCACTGTTACACTTTTAACACAGTGAATCAGGATTATATAGATAGATATATATATATATATATGCATGTGTGTGGATGTGTATATAAACCACATATGCAGATAAATCAGATAGATAGATAGATAGGTAGATAGATAGCACTGAGCAGCTACTGGGGCCTGATCCTCCAAAGCCCTTGCACTTTGGGACAGTGACTGATGCAACTACTGTAAAAACTGTGATTGCCTTCCCAGGACGTAGGAGCAGTTCTCCAGTGGGGAATATTCATTGAAATCAATGGCCATTCTGTGCACACACACTTTAAGGGCCTGATATTTGTTGCTTCTTTTCTGAGGCAATTAATGAAGCTCTGTGTGTAATTTTAAAGGCCCTTCATGAACTAACTGGAAATCTACAGCACTGAACATCAGTGAACTCATATCCAAAACTAATAGCTTCAGTATCACTGCCAAAACTTGACTAAGCGCTCTTTGTGCCTGCAAATGGGGTTCTGTAGGCAGTATCCTCCTATCTGCCTTCAAGGGATAATCTCCTCTTACAAATAAAACAATTGTTTCATTTGCTCATTGCAAGGGTTGAATGAGGCTGCAGAAATGAATCTCGCTGGTTGTGAATGTTCTCAAGTCAATCAAGAGCGGATTTGGGGAGTGGGGTTGCTTTCAATTAACACGTTGCTATTTGTAAAACTAGTTTAAAAAAATGTCTTTTCACAGGTTTGGATGTGGAAACTAATAAGCAAGTCATCCCTCTCACTATACCCAATTAAAAGATGGCTTAAATATAGTGTAAAAGTCAAAAATCCGTATCCGTGTGATCAAGGTGCCCCATATTTATTACCTCAGAGTAAAAAGGAATAATCTAGTTGTCTCTTTAACAAATGAAACAATGTTTAAGTAATTACAGAAAAGAGTGGGTCGAAACCATCCCTTGGATACTTTCAGAGCCAATGGCGTAGTCCAGGGGATCAATTTGTGCTTGTAACATGAATGATAAATCTAACTAAACATCTTTATTTTTACAGTACGTTAAAGAAGCATTTTTTATTTAGTGCAGTCATATATCTCCACATTATTCTGAAGTATGCTTCTTTATTGCTCTTATGTCTCCAGAATTGCCTGAGGAAAGCATCCTTTTCTCCTTGTGTTTCATTGTTGTTACCCTTGTAGAGTATAACATGCACAAACTTGATTATGATTAATTGAGGGCTTTGGCAAATTATGTTTTTATTCCTTTCCATCTAAGTCTTCCATCTGCTCAAGAATAGAAAAAAAAAAAAAGAAATTTTACATTTATAAGGACAGTTAGGGCTTTCTGGGTAAATCATCAGAACAACTGGTTCAGCAGTAATAGCTACAAGCAAAGAAAGGCTTCCTTCAGTCTTACATCATCAATACTAATTCATTAATGCAATAATCACAACATTAATGCATCTCTATCCTACAAGTGAGGCCGAGAGAGGATGATAACTGGTCAAACCACATTTGATCCAAAATCTTGCTGCAGAGCTGGAATTTCAAACTGAATCAAACCCAGTTTAGAATATTGCTCAATTAGATCCTACCACCAGAGAACCACTTAAAGCAGTCAAGTACAAAGTCTGTAAATATAAACACCTGTGTCCTTCGGCACAATGCATGTAACATCAAGCAGGCTATTTTTAAGAGGCTCTGTTGAAGTTCTTACCCAAGGTGATGCAGCTGCATAGACCAGCCCATTAAGCCTGGTGAACCACATCAGATAAGGCCCTTCCTTCAGGGTTAATGATTCAGGTATAAATGCTTGCCATCCCCTGGAAACTGGCAAATGAGGTTACACTTGGCAGTCTGGGGTTTTCTTAATAGGATGAATGACAGAAGCAAGAAGTCATGTTTAACTTGTACGAATGCAAGGAGGAAAAGGCAAGGCTTTTTCATTTAAAGACAGCCTTGTTCTCCAGCCTTGCTGGCACATAGCACAGAGTGGTGCCTCTGGCTGATGAGAAAGCAAAATTATTGAGGAATTTGCTCCTCTGAGACCACAGAGTTGAAATAACAAAAATCCCAAACAATTTTGGCAACCAGAACGCAGATACAATCAGTCTTTAAAAGGCTGGTCTGGAGAGCTGGTGGCATGGGGACAGGGGCTGTGGATTTATGACAAGGTCAGCACCAGTGGCATTTTTCTTGCTCAGCCAATAACATGAATTGAGTTGTTGGCCTTGGCCCAGGTCCCTGTGAATAACACTCCAAGTGACTAACACCACACCACTCCTGAACCATCACTGAAGAAGGCAGGTTAAATCTGCACACCCGACACTGATGTGAACCACAGAGCACTGGTGTGATCTGTTACTGTAAATTGTCTGTAAAGGTGGTGATCCAGAGGGAGGGATAATAATCATCACCAAAGGTGGGTTTAATTGCCTGCAGAGATGGCATCTGACAACTAGCAGGGAAGTCACTGCAGTGTTCCTGCACACAGGTGGTCGGAGTGGCAGCTGACTAAGCATCAAAAGACAAGGAGTCTGTGGTTCAGCTGAACCCAACTAGATTTGGAGGTAGATACAGAAGCTAAACTTCCTCTGCCAAAGTTTCTTGTCAAAGATGTACTGACAGCGATGCTGTAAAACCTCTCAGCACCTCACTGAAGATTAAACTCTATGGTAGCTTCATAGTAGACAAAGAAACTGTTATAGACATGGCCTGTGTAGAAAAAAAACAAAGAAGAAAAACTAATTCTGTGGAAACAGCAATGCAAAAGATGAACACCACATAGCTGGTAATACAGAGGCACTGCCCATACTGTAGGAAAAAGCAGCCACTTCTTAACAAGGAAGGGTGCTTTAATAATCAAATCCAAAAGGGTTTTATTCCCAGTTGAGCCTCCCCATGTGTCAGTCACTGTCCGAGACTCACAGAGTCAGTGCATTTACTCACCTCTGCACAGGGATCTTAGTAAGAATGATTCACCAGAGTAACTTTTCCAGTGATATATATTGTCCTTTCCTGCTGCAATGACATGGTCTGGATAGAAGTGGGGATGGTCTGATGACTTCACTCCTCCAAGAAGCAACCCATACATCCCCAAGCCCAAACAGGTCACCACACAGAATATTGGGTGAGATAAGTAATCTGGTGAAAAAGCTACAGGAATCTGTGGTTAGAACCCCCTGGAACTGTTGTCCCAGCTTGCTCTGGGGACTACTACAACATCAGTGTCCTGCTGCAGTCCTCCTCCCCTTCCTCTGCTCACACATCTTGTGTGTACAAGAGGGCACAGGAGTCAATTCATTCTGCTGTGGAAAGCTCTGCATGAAGCCACTTTAATTTGGCTTTGTGTGTGTGTGTGAATCTCATCCTGATACTTTCTGGGTTCTCAGGGAAACATTAGAATGGCAGCACAGCAGAAATGGAAAATGCATTCTCATTCTTTGGCAGCGAATAATTTATTTCATATCCACCATGCTTTTTTTTTTCCCCCTTCCCCTGCTGCCTGTGTTTGTGATTGTAAGGGAAATTAATTTCTGAAGAGTTTAGCTAATATTTATTGGTGAGAAGATTCTGTCAGCCTCTCAAGGTAAACAAGAACTGGTTCTGCCTGACACAGATTGAGTGTCACATGACTATCCTATTTTTCTGATTTAATAAATATTAACCTTTCTGCCTTTTAGTAGCATTGTGCAAGATTTTTTTAATCTTCTGACGTGAAAAGGCAAATAGCCAGTACATGCCAAAACTACTCCTATTATACAAAAAGGCAAATTTTCGTTATTTCATTTCAAGACAAGACATTGTTCAAATTAAAATTAAAATGCACACAGATTATATCTCCTTTTACACAAATCTATGCAAGATGCCATTCAGGGTGTGCCTCTTTTCCTAACCGCAAATTCTTGTAACATCAGATAAAGGAGATTTATTGTCATATTCCCATTTTATCTTCTAACTTTTGCCTAGTGGGAAAGCATAAAGGAGACAGAAAAGCATAAAGGAGACAGGTGACCCCCCAAAAAGACTGTAGGAAAGGATCTTACATCAAGAGAGTTGGCAGAATCTCAGAGGATCTTTTGGAAGTTGCCAACCTTGCCGAAGATTTTCCTCACTGCCTTGAGCAGACTGCTTTCCTTCTTTCTGCCTCAGTTTCCCAACTGTAAAGAAAAAGGCACAGAAAGATATAATAGTTCTTTCCCCATTTTTTTCTATCTTATTCCTATTGCAAACTCTTCCAGGCAAGCCTGATTATGCACTTAGCAGATGGGGGCTCCAAACTCAGCTGGAGCCTTTAGGCATTCCTATAGTATAAATAACAATAATAATGATGGAGTGTTAAAATAGGCAGAACTCGTTCTTTGTTCTCTGCAATGTGAATCAAACTGTGGCTGGACTTTTATTTAACACCACCAGCCAGTTTATTTATGAGAGGATTTATCAGAAGTGGTTGGGTTTAATTTCCTCTAATTCACGCTGCATGAAAAATGGCAACTGTCTGATTTTAATCTAAAACCTGACGATAGGGCTTCCCAGAAATAACAAAAATACCACAGTGGAGGTATCCAAACAGTTACTGTAGGAGTGCAGCACAGGCTGAACATGCCTGCTGCCTCACACCTTCACTCTATCCCCTCCCTGCTCTCTCTCTTCCAATGGTACCTGCAAAGCCTGGATCACTGAAGCAGTACATCAATTATTAATGGTAAGAAAAAGAATTTTGGGAGTTCAAGTGCCTTCTCTGGCACCTTAGTTCACAGAAAGAGTTAATCTTTTGTTCTTAAACTGACTTTTTTATTTTTAATCAAGTGGATATGTTTGTTAAGCCTTCTTTTCTAAGGTAGAAGGAGGAGGGAGAGGTTGTAAAAAAACCAGTCATTTTCAAGTGGAACAAACGCATGAAGTTAAATATGAGTGTGCATCAACAAGCTCACAGATTACTGTGGCATGAAAAATAATAACACAAAAAAAGATGGAATTCCTTTTCAAACAAATCAGAGAAAGATTCAAAAGCAGGGGCAATCAATACCACCCTGTGATCAACAGGAAATGCTAAGAATAACTGTATATCATGTGTGGCTTCAAATTTACAACCAGGACATATAATCTCATTGTAAGAAGAGAGTCAAGTTCAAGAACTTAGTCTCTACAGTAAAGCTCTCATTTTAACTAAAGAAGCTGAGGTCGACGGCCTCTCAAATGAAACAGATAAGGCGACATAGGGTTCTTGTCAGAAACAAATGTTATGTCTCTCCCTACTGAAAAGCTTAAAGATATTATCAGCAAAAGCCTAGTTGGGCCTGAAATGGGTCCCAGAGAAGTAATATTAACCAGGCTCCTGGCAGATCATTTATTTATCTCAAGCTAAATTCAATAAAGAGAGCCATATATAAGTGAGGGAAAATAATGCAGCTGCTAGTAATTTATCATTGGATGGAAAGTCATTGTTATCCTTATCTCTCCAATGATGTTCTATTTCCAACTGGTAATGAATTATGGGGCTTGCCACATCTTTACTATGTGACAGGTCAACACTACCTCATGGGTACTGTACTGTATTTATGCAATCGATAGAGGGTCTGCTGAGGAAATATTGGCAACCATTTTGTGAGAGTGACCTAGAGCTGCATGGCCTTATGATCCGTGGTGGTGGTCAGTGGATAGAGCAGCATTCCCTTACTCCTTTAAAACAAAGATGTCTTTGAACGCTTTTAAAGCATTTTTCACTTTGCTCTTTATAAAGCCAAGCATGCGAAGTGAACCACTGGATTGTTAATTAGGAAGCATTCTGCTCATTTAAGCTGGCTCAGCCACCAAAGGGATCTTTTCTGTTCCTTTGTTGCACTTATTAGAGGGATTTATTAAATCAAACTTCAGTGCAGTCTTATCCAAAATTATTTGTGCCTGTGGTGTCGGGGCACAGCAGAGGCACGAAGAGCAGAGGTTTTGCCCGGGCTGCTGCTGAGATGTGAGGACGGGCTAACGAGCAGCACTGGGGGCCCCACAGAGCTCCCAAATCCCACACTGAGTTCTAAGGTGGAAGCCAAGCAACTCAACACTGTGTTTGCTTTGCTCAAGTCAGCTGTGAGGGACCCTCCCAGCACGACCCCTGCAAGAGAAGCAGTGAAAAACAGTGTTCTGTGATGGATGGCTCCGGGAGGAACAGCCCTGCTACAGGGGCACGTGGCAAGGGGAAGGTTTCTGGAGTAAGTCCCTTCTCTGGCACTGCTCTCCCACTCCTGAACCAATTATGCCCATGGTTTCTCTCTTTTCTACTTCTTCCCATTGGGTTTGGCTTTCATGATTCACAAGAAAAGTTTATGCGGCCTGAAAAGTTTGTATTTATACTAAAAAAAAAAAACAGAAACGCACTTTTAAAATTTTATATGGATTGAGAGGGGGATATATATCACAAATGATTCAAGATCTTGAATTTTCAAAAACACCTCCTGAAGAAAAACCAAGAAAATGTTCAAACACATTAAAATTATTCAGAAAAATAAAGAAATATTTTAGAATAAAAGCAAATGTTCAAACACATTAAAATTATTCAGAAAAATAAGGAAATATTTTAGAATAAGCACTCTTTTGTCATTAAAAATTACCAAATAAATAAGAAAACAACACAATCACAATTTGGCCCAGACTACAGATTAGGCCACTTGATCTTCAATGCCATTTAGTTCACTATCTCCTCTCTAGCCTTCTGCCTTCTTCTCTACTGAGACTACTCGTTTGTGGCCATGAGTTGTTTCAAGAACTGAGAAATCCAGAAAATCCCATACTGATTTTTTTTTTGGCTGGTTGGTTAGGTAGAAAGGTAGAAAAATACACATCCTTCAAGGCAGAGTAGGGACATATTTGGAAAAAAAAAATAGGAAATTTCACTGAAGTGAAGCAGCAGCCATGCCAATGGTAAAAGCTACTCATTGTAGTAATACACTGATTTTTAGCCATGCAAAGGGATGTCCAGATGAGTTGCACCACCGATGCTGAACCCACAGACCTTTCTAGAAGAGCACAATAGGACAGGATCGTACCCAAGTGACATCCAACCGAGGCAACGAGAGGAAAAGTAAAGCTGTCTATTCTAATTGTTGTGGGAAAAGGAAATTTAGACACGCTGGCCGGCCACAGTTCACTTATATAACCTATTAGGTGACCTAAATGATGTTCCCCGAGGTGGCTGAGATGAACTCAGGTGAAAAACAAACGCGGGTAACTCCATCCATTGTTAAACAACGAGCGCGTTTCCTGGTCCCAGAGACACGCTGTGCCTTCTGGCGTGCAGGCCCGTGTTAATGTGTCTCTTTGGCTCCCTACATTCAGGAAAGTCTTAGTAATGGAAAAACAAGGATGTTGTAGGTGAAGGCTGAAGTCCTTTGGCAGAGCAGCGTGTGCAAGAGCCTGACCAGAGCCTGCTGCGCTGTAGCGCGGCCGAGCCCGTGATAGCAGCCTGTCAGCTCCCCCAGCATTAACACTCATTCACAAAGATTCAGAGAGTCAAGGAGCAAGTCACCATGTCCTGCAGTAAATAACTTGGGATTCGTTTCCCCACGTACCGACTGAGATACAAACTCCATATGGTTTGGCTGTTTGAGAAGGGCTCTTGCCTGGATCACATTAACATATGAAAGCTCTGATATTTTCATAATCAGCTAACTCAAGGGGTCACCCAGCTGATGCCAGGAAGGTCTTGCTTTTCTTTTGACAGCTGAGAAAGTATAATGGATTTTTTGTAATTCAAACAAGTTATGTAAATAGCATAAAATAAAAAAATCTAGGTGTCATAACTCATTTAAACCAAGATAATTGAGAGAAATATACTCCTTGAAATCAACTATTGACTTCTGAGTCTATCATAACCAGCAAGGAGTCTGCTACTTGTCAGATACTCTTTCTCACGTAGTTTCAAACACACTGTCAAAATTCTGTACAGCTTCTGGCTCCCAGGCTTTCTACTTACATACCAATCACTCCATTCACTTTTTAATTTCAATTGCTTGGAGACCTCTCCCAAAAATTTTAAAAAAGAAAAAAATAATTAAAAACAAAACAAAACAAAACACTCCACAAAAACCAACCAACCAAACAAACAAAACCAAAACCAAAACAAAACAAAAAAAAACACCAAAAAACCCTAAAACATTGTCCTGAAACTACTTAGGTTTACAGAGGTAAAGTCTGGTATGAATGATGTATGTGTTTAATAATATGTTCCCTGGTTAATAAAATACTAGATTATTTTTGGACTACAGAATTTAAATGGAAGGAAGTTTAACCATTAGGAACCTGTTTACAATTACCAAGAGAATAGCCAGTTGGCAGGTCAATAGCTATCAGCAGAAATAAAGAACCACAGCAGCCACCTGTGCTTAAGGCTTGTCCCTGTTAGGAAAAAAATAAATGAAAAGGCAAAACCTGAGAAGCAAAGCTAGAGCATGCTGGGTTCTTTTCAGTTTAAAATTAAAAAACAGAGGGCATTGCTCTGGGACTACTGATTTCAGAGTCTAGAGCACAGGATAAACAGCTCTTCCAGGCTGTATAAGAAAAAAATGGGCAGCAAATATCTGCATCAAACTTTTTCTCTAGATAAACAATTCAATCCAAAGCACATTGAAATACCTTGAACAGGTTCTTCATGGTCTGAAGATTTGCTCTGAAAGGAAATGTGCACACAGGGATGTTTCCCCTTCCTCTGTGAACTGTCCCACCACTGAGCCAGTTGGAGATTGGCCATTTAGAGTTGAAAAGGCCAGTAGACACCTGTGTCAAGTGCATCCTTCCTTTACCAGATGGAAATAATTGGAGCCTTGAGAAAGTTCTCACTCATTGTCCTCTGAATGGGTCAGAGAGAATCACACCTGCAGAAGGGCTGCAGTGTGTATCTCACAGACCAACACACACTGGGAAGAACCACATTCCCAGTAATATCACAGGGACTTCTGTTGTGGAACCTGAGGATATCTGTTGCCAGCAGAGAACATTTTCAGAGGCAATGTTTCTACATGATCTAGGACATATAGCAAACCTAAAATTAAATGCAGAGGTTTTTCCCACTGATTTCTTACTTACAGATGAAGATTACTGTTCTTATTCTGACCAGTCAGCTGTGGTAAATGTCCCTCTGTCCTAGAGACTTCATTTGTACATA